AATTTTTAATTTTATATTATTACTGGAAACGATGCATTCAATCTTAGTACTCAGGAGTGACAACGATTCTGACTTTTGATTCTTCATCGAGGATTGATTTAGATGTTTACTGGCCACAGTTTCCACTTACCATCAGGTGGACTCTGAGAATAGCGGTGCATAAAAATAGTTATTAGTCGGTATGACAGTCGTGCAACATTCGAAAAATTCAGCGATATATCAATACAGATTTAATTTCTTCAACGCCATGCAACTGCGATATAGTCGTTTCGTGACAACAAATTTGCGCACTTTAATGTAATATTAATCTATGGTATTATAATTTTTCGCAAGCTATTTGTCAAAATATTACAATCATAAATAGTTATTGACCCTATTGATTTCCTTCTTTTGAATGCTGGTTGTCGCAAATATAAGCAAAAATCGCAGCTTCGACTTAGTATTTAAAATAATAGAACGGAATTACGATAACCTGTTTTGAAAATCGGTCAATATCTGTTATAATTTTAAGCGAACATATAAAATGCATACTCCTTAATACGCGAAAATCATAAGCTATCTTTTATTTACCACACTGCATTATAAACAGTAGTAAACGTCGCACATTTCACTTGTTATGTGATCTCATTTGATCCGAACACACGATGAATACTCGACCGCAAACAAATTGTATAATCCGCTACCATTAGATAATGACTTGTGATACCAATGAGCCGGCAGTGAAGTCATCGCACCCAGCTAGTATCGCCAACTATTTTCTATAAATGTAATTTTAACAAATTGCGAAAAATAAATAAAAAACTGATTAAGAATCAAAATGCGGATGCGTTGTCACCCGTGAGGACTAAGATGGAATGTCTCGTTTCCAGTAAAAAGAGTCTCCGGTTCTCTACAATCCGGTTTTCTACGTGGTAGAGCCATGTTGTTGCTATTATGGTTAGAGCACGAATGTGTCGGTTCGACCGGGGAAGGACCACGCTCTCTCAGAATACCAGCGTAAAATAGCACTGCCAATCACTGCTGTTTTTAGTATGGTGAGTGTAGAGAACCGGAGACCCTTTTTACTGGCAAAGAGGCATTCCACCTTAGTCCTCACGGGTGACAACGCATCTGTATTTGGATTGTTTATTGTGGATAGATATAATATGTTTATGGGCCACAGCATTCACTTACCATCAGGTGGACTGCGTGCTCGTTTTTCACCCTTATTCTAAAAATCTTTTTATCAATAATAACGATGACGGGAATGAGTTACTAAGTTAAGATGCTTGGTAACCTTGCAACAATTAAAAGTTATCTGAGTTGACTTACAATCAGGCCACTGACTGCGTCTGACCTTACGTTTATTATAGCGAATAATCGTTTTAATTGGATAAAAGTTATTCTAAAGGTGACTCCAGATCGCAGCACCAAACAGTGCAACGGAAATTTTTAAAACTTTGTCTGTTCCTTCTTTAATATATTCACACGGGCCCCGGATTCAAATGCATGTTCTGAATCTACTGTCTCACACTGCAGGTGTAGTTTGTGGTTGTCTTTTTCTGCAGCCGCCTTCTTCCTACTTTATGCTTTTCTTATTACGTACTTCATTGAAAGAAATAAAGAAAATATTTATTTTCTTACACAATCGCAACGCCATATTGTACATGATATTTCCCGTTTTAAACGATATTTATATTATAATACTAGACCTTGCCGAACGTAACGAAAAGAGTATGCACTCGACATTTTGCGTGGCGAACTACAGCCGCTGTTTTTCAGTGAGTAACTCGAGCAGTGGTCCATCAGCGTTAGAGCACTAATACTATTGTATTGGGGTTACACAATGCAATCAGAATTTTGATATGTCTTAATAAATACGTATATAGTAATAGTGATCATGCATATACTTGTTAACAGTTGGATCATGGTTGGAACATTAATACTCGTTTATTGTAATTATATTCTCTTTGCACCCACTATCTTCTATATGTCGCAGGTTTATGATAAAATTAGGTTTTAAATCAAAAACCTAGGCTATTGATCAGAAACCGGAAGAAAACAAAGTTTTTACTTAATCTTATCACTAACCTGAAGAAAATCCTGTGTTTTGATTAAAAACCTTAACTTGGGCAGGTTTGTGACAAAATTTAAGTTAAGGTTAGGTTGATTTTATCATAAAACTAAATCAATCTAGGTTCTTGAAAACACACAAAAAACTGGATTTTTTTTAAAGTTTACGATAAGATAAAGTAGTAAAAACCTGATTTTATCATAAACCGGCAACATATGGACGGGAGTGACGACCTGTTACGAGATGTAGGAAGTCAATGGATGCAAGTGGCTTAGCACCGTGCTCTGTGGCATTCATTGGAGGAGCCGTATGTTCAGCTGTGGACTTGTGATATGATGTAATAATGACGACGGTGATGACCATTATCGTATTTGCTTTACGTAGAGGTAGACTGGAAGAAAAAATGTCTATGATACCTACATATAAATAAATTGGAAGTGTCTGTCTGTAATATTAAAATAACTGGCTTTTATTAAGCTCAGAGGGTTATTTGGATGATAGTAAGGACATAAAATAATATATCTAAAAAAAATTGGTTAATCTTAGGAATGGCTGGACCAATTGTGATGAAACTTTGTGAACATATAGATACACATATAGAGGGCAATGTGAGGAGGGATCTATGATATATTTTAACCAAATAACTTTTTTTGAAAATATAAAAAATGATAAAATATGTGGTGATTTCTTATATTTACACGAACACTACACATTTAAATAAAACTAATTTTACGGATTTTATCGCCTATATTAACTTATTTTATATTCCCGACGTTCCGAGCACTTTACAGCACCCATGGTCACGGGGGGTCTGAGGTGTATGACGTCCTAATGTCATAGTTAACTATGTATGACTGAGGTGTATGACGTCCTAATGTCATAGTTAACTATGTATGACTGAGGTGTATGACGTCCTAATGTCATAGTTAACTATGTATAACTGAGGTGTATGACGTCCTAATGTCATAGTTAACTATGTATAACTGAGGTGTATGACGTCCTAATGTCATAGTTAACTATGTATGACTGCGGTGTATGACGTCCCAATATCATAGTACTGGAAACGTCGGGAATATAAAATATGTTAATATACGCGATAAAATCCGTAAAATTAGTTTTATATAAAAATATGTGGCCTTTGATTCTCTAAAATCTAAATAAGGTCACATGAATACAACCTATTCAGGCGAAGCCGGGACGGATTGCTGGTAATAAATAAATTTGAAATGTGTAGAGTTAGCCATTATTGAATTTGTCCAGAATATCGAGCATTAATATCACATATTATCGTATATCAAGAACGATGAGTCACTATCAAGGCAAGTTTTATTATGTACAAACATAATTTCATTGAAGGGCACGCCGACGAGGAAATACAAAGAATCGCCGAAGTTTTTTTTTCACGTGTGCTGGTCAATTATTGCTCGAACCAGTGTCGGGTGTCGGTGTATTGTAGCAATGGGCAACTCCGAATGTTCCGGTCATTCGAATAAACTGCGACTACTAATATATATTCGAATTACACAACAACTTGTTTTCATAATCGAATAAAAAGTTATACCCTAAAACAAAAAAATGCAATACTTCATGAAAGGTGAAAGCTGTTCTTCTTTACAATAGTGAAGCGACGTGCTCTTTAGTTCGAATATTTATCGATATCGATATTTATTGAGCACACAGATTATGAAGGTTATTCATCAATGATATTCACAGGCGTCCTCTCGTTTTGGAGAGGGTTTTGAGGCAAGGAAATGTCCGCCGTACTGCCTCACACTTGGTGAACTTCACATGTCTTCGAAATATTTTTTTTAATTACTCAGACATACAGGTTCCTCATGGTGTTTTTCCTTCACCACTAAAAGTAGATATGTAGCGTCGACGGGGTTCGAACTCGTGTTGCTCGGCTAGTGTAAAATTTTCAGCAAGTTTAGTCCCTGAGCTACCACGGCTCGAATTATGACCACTAATCATAGTTAAGTTTCAACTATATTGAATTGGATGGTGTGTGACTTTATTTTTCCTTTATACAATAATAATACTAATACGACGACGAAATCTTAATGAAGTGTTTGCATGACGCGTTCACGAACGTGTCATCACTCGAATCGGTAATAATAGATCACGGCAGCCAGGTTCTTTGTATCTAATAATAATTTACTTGTTATTTTATTATCAATTCTAAAAAAAATACTATAATTTTGATATTTGCTTTATTTCGGGTAGGTTAGTCCAGTGGGTGTCGTAAGCGACAAGGGGAAACAATTTTTTTTTTATAGGATAAGCGTGACAAGCGCGAATACAGTCCACCTGATGTTTAGTGGTTGCTGTGGCGCATAGACATCTTCATCTATCCTCGTATGCGAATCAAAATGCAGACGGGTTGTCACCCGTGAGGACTAAGATGGAATGAGGCATTCCATCTTAGTCCTCACGGGTTTTCCAGTAAAAAGGGCCTCCAGTTCTCTCAGAAACCTGAAACCTAAATATAGAGATGGGCAGCAGCGTCTTCCAAATAACAGGTACACAATTAAAAACTGCGGTTGCCAATCCGCTAATGAGGCAATCTATGCGGAAGTCTATGCTCAGCAGTGGACTTTGATAGATCGAAATGGATGAATTAAGGTGGTGTTCCGATAAACACTGCGAGCACTGCTGCTCAAAGCTCTCACCGGTGAAAAATTCGTTCTGTTATGGACGGCCAGTATACTGCCGCAGTACCTTAGGGAAATATATGACGTCACAAATCGCCGCCATTTTTGTACAGTGAGACTGGCGCTTTCGAGGTAAGATGGTCTCAGTACTTTGATTACGTGTACAAAAAACAACAGCACCTAGAGATTTAACAGCTTCCACGAGTGATTGTTATTAATTAATATTGTTATTGAAATAAACTCGGACATTTTAAGTTTTGAAAGCAACAACATTCAAATAATATTTTTTTCTTTTTGAACAGAAAATGTGTACATGATAAATATTTTCATTTGAAAATAGTGTCGAAAAATGGGGACGCTAGTATACTGGACTGCGTTCCCTTTTAAACAGTAACCAGTATAGCGAACTAAAAAGAAACGGCTTCACAGTATACTGAATTGACGTCCCACCTTAGTGGTCACAGTGTAGGTATATCGGAACATACCCTAAATGATTTCTTATATTTACGCGGATACTACACATTAAACAAAACTAATTTTATCGTGTTTAGTTCACTTTTCAACACCCGACGTTTCGGGTGCTATACAGTTTTACTCATGATCACGAGGGAGGGGGGGGGGGGGGGGGGCGTTGTCTGTTTGACGCCCTGATGTCATAGTTAACAGAGGCTACCTTTAACTTTTAAATAATATTAATAATGCGTAGATCGAACCCCAAAAATTTGAAAATATGAAGATCGGATAAATCCATAAAGTTGGTTTCATTTAGTGGATGGATTAAAATTTAGACCTTGCATTTGGTGCAAATTTCGCAATTCGTGGCAAACCAATACAAAATACATACATATCAGTCCGATTGTATATTATTTAATTAACTTAATTTAACTTATAAAAACCGGCCAAGTATGAGTCGGACTCGCGTATGTAGGGTTCCGTACCATCGTAATACACGTTTTTAGTAGGGGAGCCCCTTTTAATTTTTAATTTGTTTTATATTAATTATTTGTTATTATAGCGGCAACAGAAATACACATTCTGTGACATTTCAACTGTCTTACTACTACGAATCATGAGATACAGCCCACTGACTGGTTGGTTACCCTTTGGGTACGGAACCCTAAAAAGTATCAATATAATTCAGAATATTGGGTCTTTAATTATGAAATTGTCATTTTGTATGGGAATTTGTTGATCGAGAGCCCTTGCTATAGAAATCTCCTGCACGAGAAACGATGAACTCTGTCGTTCTTTATTGCTTCTTCGGAATTAAAATTTTTGCATATCAAAATGTTATCTAAACTTCGAAAAAGTGAAAACCTGTTGAGGCAATGTCTGGAGAATATTGTACATGAGTTAGGGTCTCTGGCTTTGGACTCTGCTAATACTGCCAACGTCTGTAGTGTAAATAAGACGGAGCGTTGCATGAAAAATCACTGGCAAAGAGTAGTTCACCTATTCATCATCATCATCATTACAGCCCTTCACAAGTCCACTGCTGAACATAGGCCTCCCCCAAAGAATGCCACAAAGCACGGTCCTGAGCCACCTGCATCCATCGACTTCCTGCATGTCTTACCAGGTCGTCACTCCATCTCGTGGGGGGACGCCCTACACTTCGCCTACCGGTACGAGGCTGCCACTCGAGAACCTTTCTTCCCCATCGGTTGTCGGTTCTTCGAGCTATATGGCCGGCCCACTGCCACTTCAGCTTACTAATTCGTTGGGCTATGTCAGTTATTCTGGTTCTACTGCGGATATCCTCATTCCTAAGTTTATCACGCAGAGAAAATCCGAGCATAGCCCTCTCCATAGCTCGCTGAGCGACCTTGAGCTTCCTCATACGGCCAGCAGTGAAGGACCACGTCTCAGTTCCGTAAGTCATCACTGGCAACACGCACTGGTTGTACAATTTCTTGTTTTTGTTTTGGCATTTCACCTATATATATTTATATATTTTTATATTATTGTATATTGTTCACCTATTGGCGTTTTTTAAATGCCATCCTCTACCCTATCATTTGCAATTTTAACAATAACGGTCAGTAATAAGATTTTTAGTAACAAAAATATTTTAATTTTCTCATACGTAAAGGTATGTACATAGGTTCAAAGACCTGAGGTTAAAGTTTGCCGAATAAAAGCGATTAAACCAATATGTACAGCTCATTCGTTAATAGTGCTAGGTTCTTATACGTCATTGTATTGCGTGCTGATTGAGGCACATTGTTTCCATGAAGGAACTCTTATTCAAAAACAACACACGTTTTCTTAGAAATTACAGTTATAAACTATAGCGATATTGAAGAACAAGACAAAACCTAAAGAAACTAATCAATAACTGATCTTGAAAAAGGAATGGCGTGCTTTAAATGTAAAAATTATTCGAATTTAGAATTTCTAGTACAAAGTGACAAACTTCATAGGTTTTTTTTTTTAAATCGTTATCCGACACTAAAATTTTCCTCTGTATCGTGGAGGCAGTTTACAAACATAAATTGCACAAATACAAACATCCAGACCCGTAATAAATATTTGTAGACCATACAAATACTTGTTCCGTGCGGGATTCGAACCCACGGTCTCCAGCGCTATAATCTATAAATTATAATGTTCTCCGTTACATTTATTTACAATACGTTTGAAATGGATATTCATACATCTTCACGAGATTATCCTACCATTTTATAACACCATCACCACAATAAAACATAAATTTCTTTTAATTAACTCAATTAATGAAATTATTAGTAATTACTTACAAATATCGCTAATATTCAGGTCGACGGGGCCCTTGTCTGCACCATTGTGACTTACGCCGAGCGGTGTGCCGCGCTCTGCAACAGCACAATCGATAGGCGTACAGACGTGTTGTGTGATTTGGTGGTGAAATCAGTTTGGCTCATTTGGACATGTTCCGATTAGGCGCAATTGTTTCACAAAATATCGTAGCAGTACCGTAAGAGGTTAAAGCAAACAGTCACTTGCCTTACTCTTTTAAATATAATGTACATTATATGACTAAAAGTTTTATGCAATAAAACACAGACTGTCACACTCCCAAAGTCTTAAGACCAATTATCTAACAGTTAATTATGTAGTAAATCTATTAAGAAACATGGTGGAAAGGTATATTATAGTTATAACGCGAATGGATCGGCTCGACCGGGGTAGGATCAAAGAATACCAGCGTAAAATAGCAGCTTAATGCTGCTGTGTTTTCTATGGTGAGTGTAGAGAACCGTAAATCCTTTTTACTGTAAACGAGGCCATCGTAGTCATCAGAAGTGTCAACTCATATGCATTTTCATTCTTAATCAAGGATTGATGCACATTTTTATGGGCCACAGCATCTACTTACCATCATGTGGATTGTGTGCCCGTTTCTCATCCTTATTATTCACAAAAAGTGAATATATGAAAAAATTTAAAGAATACAAGTAACGCTATGATTAGTACTGCCGTTAGCTACTTAGCACTGTGTTAAGAGTGGTTCACCGCAGCAGTCCAATGACGGATTCCAACAAAAGACTTTCCTACTTTGCAGTCCGCTTCCTAAACCATTAGCAGATCACGATATCTTTCTTGTATTTCCCTTAGCTGTCTCTTACGACACATTTGCAAATAAACTACACACATTAGTAATAAGTACTTATACACAAACTACTTAATTACCTAGTTGTAATTTGAACGAATTTCTGTTTCTCAATGTTGTACGTTGGTCAAATAAATGTTTCTTTCTTTCTTAACTGCAAAGTAATATCTACTTTAAACTTATCGACATCGATATTCGTGCAACATCACTACATACAATTTATAAACAGTCAGTAGTTGGAAGCAGCTACAGTGCAATAAGCGACTCAAATAGTTACCATAACAAAAAAAAGCAGCCGAAAGAAAAAGTAATCATAATAAAAAACGGTTTTGAGTGTTGTATGTTTGTAAACAATGTTGGTATAGTGACGTATTCAGTTGCTAGTAAAACTGCCCCAGAAGGTAGGTTAGATATTTCAGTTGCCTATGTACCTAGACCTATCATATACAGAACTAGCGACCCACACCGACTTTGCTTGGGTAGGACAAAAATTTTAAAAAAGGTTATGTCTTAATAGAATGAAAATAAAATGAAAAAAAAAACCTGAGCTTAATGGAAACCAGTTATTTCAATATTACAGACAGACAGTTTTATTGATATGTATAGATGCATAGCTAACATTTAAGGTTGAGCAACGTCTCGCACGTCAGACAGTTTGAATAAGTGACCGCTTTCAGCCGATGACCATGGTACAGTCATAAGCAATAAAATGTTTTCTAAAGGTAACTCTAAATTCAATATGGCGGACCACTCAAGATGGGTAGGCAAATGAAAGGGTTTGCTAAGAAGAATACGAAAATAAAATGACATCACTCTAAATCCAATATGGTGGACTCTCAAAGATGCACCCCCATGATATGGATATCACATGAAAGTGTCTGTTGAGAAGAATACGCATGAAATGACGTCCGCGTTCAGCTCTCCGAGGAGAGTCAAGTCATAATTAATATCGACCTACAACCTGGGCAAATTCTAGCGGTGGCAAAGAAAATTCAAAATGGCCGCAAACAAGGTGGTCGTCATACCAATTTTAAAGAATATAACTCGTTAAAAAACTCATCACCAAACTATCAATGCTAGAACAAATGTGAATTAGGGGAACCGACAAGGGTCAACTGATGGCGATAAAAAAAAATCAAGGATGTGGATCTAAGATGGCAATCAAAAACCGAAAATGACGCATTAAATTAAATGAACAGACTTAGAATGTCCAGGGATAGTAAAAAATAAAAAAAATATTTAATAGTAAAAAAAACAAATAAAAAGAAGTTAATGATTTCTTATATTTACGCGAACACTACACATTTAAATAAAACTAATTTTACGGATTTTATCGTGCCCAAAACCTCGGGAATATAAAATAAGTTAATATACGCGATAAAATCCGTAAAATTGGTTTTATTTAAAAATAAGTTTTTATTTAATTACTCTAAAAAGAAGGAAATAAGATGATAGTAGAACATACCTAGCGCCTTCGATTAAGGCATGCAGTAGACTTTAAATAAAATCAAACTACATTAATTTATTGCATTACACAATTTATATGATAAAGGCTTGTGCTTTATCTAACAAAAATACAATATGTAACTTGTAATGTGACATAAGTAATTCTAACAGTGCGTATACATTATATAACATGTTTCAGCAATGTGGAGGATGAATGTTATAAAACGTATTATATAACTTGATACAAATGTTATATAACTCGAACGGCAGAACGACAAACGACAATGTCATACGACAATGTCATACTACAATGTCATATAACATTGTTATATTGCGTTGTTATTCTAATGTGTACAGTATTGTTATATGATGCAATGTTGAAAAACAATGTTACATAATGTGGACGTGTTGTAAAACAAAAGTTATACAACATGTTACTTGATCTGTACGCACCCTTAGAAAAAAAGAATGTTTTTTTATAAATAGCTAAAACTCGCAACAAGCTTTTATATCACATGAATTATGAAATGTAATAAATTAATGGGTTTGAATTAAATTAAAATTTATTTTATTCTTTTTAGAACATTTAAATTAAAGTTTGTTTTTAAAAATGTTTTTTTTTCTATTCATATATTTCTTGTAATCACTAAAGTAGTCGTAGGTACCTCTCATTAATTTCAATATTATAAAATTTACAAAAAAAAAAAAAAAGATAAATGTCTATGCAATTGAATTATTTAAGTGTAAGATTATGGTGAAGAAATACAATTTCTTTTGCATTTTCAGGCGGTAGTTTACTCCTTTCTTTTTCGTAGACAAACCCAACTGCAGAGAAAAGACGCTATGAATAAATTATATATGTCTATCCGGCCAGGAAGCCCTCGGAATATTCGATATTCGGCGTGTGGCCGTATACTATTCGCCGCAAGTCTAATTTAAATCCTATAAAAATACGCGGTCAAACGTCTAGACAGTTATCAGTTTAAACAAAATAATTACACCATATTAAATAGAATTACGACGCTGATAATAATAAAGTTCTCTTAGTCATTTGCGCCTAAAGCAACATCTTCCGAATACGGTCGAAAGCTGACAACTAATAACTCAAATTAAAAAAAAAAACTAAATTTTGAAAAATAAAAAAGCAGTTGATGACCTTGAACTCTGCTTTTAAATAAAAAAAACCGCACCCACATCAGTTCACCTGTTTAATAACTACGATGCCACAGACAGACAGACAGATTTAGCGGTCAAACCTATAATCCCCCCCCCCCTTTTTTGCGTCCGGAGTTAAAAAGCACTATTCAATTGCCCTATTCACCGCGTATCCGATAATATATTGCATATTATGAGATAAAATCTGGTATGTAGTCGCTACGCCACAGTGAGTATCAAAGAAGGTCCAGTTTCGAAAACCGACCTGCTTTTCCACGGATTTCGAACTCCCAAAGGAAGTTGACCTGCTTAAACATTATACTCAAAAGTCCCAACCAATCACATTTAATTTTTTTTTTAATGTAATATAATGTAGACCGTTGATAGAACGTCTGTCAAATACTTCGGTATTTGGCAAACGTTCTACCAACGGTCTACAGAAACAGATCAGATAGATGGAGGGGTAAAAAAGTCCTAAATTTTCAAGTCCTTAATCACTAGTAAATGACTAGCTAACATTAACTTTAAGCCGTGGTAGCTCAGTGGTTAAACACTCGCCGTAGTTTAACAGAACATGATAATCCCTGGTTCGATACCCGCCGACACTAATTGAATAGTTAAATGCAATTTTGGCGCTGATTTATCAAGTTCTCGCCGGTGAAGGAAAACATTGAAAGGGATCCCGAAGCCCGCAAAACACACTGGTGGCGTGGCGGCGGACTAATGATCGACGACATTTTCTGCCACCAGGGCGACACCACTTAGGAACGAGGTGAAATATTAGACAGATTACAAAGCGGATAAAGTTAATTTGTCAGAAAGGTGTAGAGATTAATGTTTTCTGAAATATTAGCTATGTTTTATATTTATTAGTAGATATTAGAAATAAATAATGTTACTTTTTAGAGCCATGTTGCAGCAATATTATGGTTGTAGCACGAATGGGTCGGCTCGAACGGGGAAGGAGCACGCTCTCACAGAAAACCAGCGTAAAATAGCAGCTTAACGCTGCTGTGTTTCGTATGGTGAGTGTAGAGAACCGGAGACCCTTTTTACTGGCAAAGAGGCATTCCATCTTAGTCCTCACGGGTGACAACGCATCTGCATCTTGAGTCTTTATTGAGGATAGATGTAGATGTCTATGGGTCACAGTAACCACTTACCATCAGGTGGACTGTGTGCTCGTTTGTCACCCGATCCTATAAAAAAAAAAACTACTTACTACTTAATGTTTTAATTTATGAATACCATTTAGCTAGTTTTATTCTTTTATATTTTTAATTTTTATACAACATAATATTGTGGTGGCAAGTTTTTATTATGTATTATATATCTGTGGAAACTTCATTGGTTTTTAGGATTACTTTTATATGTTTTATTATGTAATTTATTATTGTACTGTATGTTTCCCTTAAAAAGCAAATAAAAAAAAATAAAAGAATGCACGCATATTCCTAAAAGTATAAAATTAAAAAAAGTTGAAAATGTGTAAAAATAATTAAAAAATACAGCACTAAATACACTTGAAACCGAAAAACTTATAATTAAATCGCAACTTTTCAATGATGATGTCACTGTGATCTATCCCTCATTGGTTCATAACCCACTTAGAAATAAGTGGTCTGTGCCCTGCAATAGGAC